CCATTCAAAAAGAAGCCATTTTACAGTAACATTGGTTCATCGGTCTTGGAGATTATGTGAGGGAGTGAGAACTGAGGCTTGAATTTCAGAGACTGATAGTTTGACCTACCCCTGAGCAACTGATGGTGCACATCTTCACATGCCTTGGAAAATGAGCTCAGGCTGCCTTTTCATTTAAAAAGACAGAGCTTGATCTTGGAAAATGCTGACCACTTCCTGAAAGCTGACTTCAATGGTGGTGGAAGCCAATCAACACCATGCAGGATGGGAAAAGAGTAGGCCTACAGGAAGCACCAAGAAGGCTTTTTGTATTAAGCATGAAGGAGAAGGGAGAGAATCTCTCATGACTTTAATTTCCTTTGCATTTGTACTCTGACAAGGTTATTTGCTTGCCAGGTGGCCTTCTCAGGCTCTGTTCTTCTAAAACCCATTATTCTACAGTGCTGTGGTGCATTCACTGTGACTGTAACTAAACCAGTGAAAGAGAGGCTGCAGTGTTGCAAAGCTCGTATACTGGAAAATGTTTGCAGTTAGACCTGAAAGTTCATGGTTGAGAAAGTTAATGATTTCTGCCTAGCGGGTGGTGGTAAGGGAGAAATACGAAATGTGCTGTCTGTGGTTGAAATTGGGTTTTAACCCTGGAAAAATCAATTCATTGTCCTCTGGCTCTATGTCTCTCTAGAGAGAGTCTGCCAATTGGTCATCAGCTGTGATACAGGCTATCACAATAACTTTTCTTCAAGCTCTTCTTTTTGGTCTCCATTGTTCTATAAGGGGTCTTGTTGCTGCCTAAATCTTTTAACAATAACATTCTGCACATAAGGTACAATATTTTTATATTATCTACTTGACAGTTCATTAATATGCTTCTCTGAGACACCTGGAGAAGGAATTCACAGTTCCTCCATTACTATGGATTAGTATTTTCTGGGTTTGCCAATAATGCTGATTTATTCGTGTTTGGAAGCAATTACTCTCATATGACATTGTCCTAGGCTTGCTATTTTAGTAGCACTGCATTAAAAAACAAACAAACCAACCCAAATTATTGTTTGTAACATTGGCAAAAGCACTTGTGTTGAGAGCTGATTTGTCAAATAACTCAATACTTCATAGAGTTCCACTGGATCAACACCAGTCTGAATTGGAGCATAATTTGGCCAGGTCTTGCTCACCTCCACCATATGCCTGTCACCCATTCTTATCAATGATCAGAGGGGTAGCCATGTTAGTCTGAATCTGTAAAAAGCAACAGAGGGTCCTGTGGCACTGTTAAGACTAAGGCCTTGGCTACACTTACCGGCAAGTTCGACGGCTGGAAATCGAACTTCTGGGTTCGACTTATCGCGTCTAGTCTGGACGCGATAAGTCGAACCCGGAAGTGCTCGCCGTCGACTGCGGTACTCCAGCTCGCCGAGAGGAGTACCGCGGAGTCGAC